ACCAAGAACCTTTGATATACATAGTTTTGTACATCCTAAATTTGGTTCCAGAGCAATTTTTCATTCCAATTAAAAACGTTTCACCTTCATTAGGTTTCCCCATCCAAGCATCCTAAAAGCCTGATCCTATGATACATATTAATAGTTTTATCCATCCTAATTTGGTATATCTTTCCAAAGGTCCCCAATTTTGCTTTAAATTTCAGAATGTTTACAATAACCAGTAATCTGTGTGTGATGAATTTTTTGAAGAAAAGTCAACACACTTTGTTGTTATCTAAATGTTTTTTCTTTATATCAACAACAATTAAGAATTCAACATGAAGCTGTTGGGAAAATCAGAAAAATATTATAACCCTTCCCATTATTTTCGAGAAAACCCTAAGACATTTTTTTTATCTTTACAAGTGGCCTGTACAACCTTTCACCAGAATATATACATGAGTATTAATGACATATCTACACACAAGCAACAGCAACACTTCTATAGAACCATAAAGATGGTAGTCTTGATTATTTCACAGTTACACACAAAACCACAAAACAGACAATTTCTTTAAAACAATCTGCACACTACTCAAAAATGATTAGGACCTTATATAACTACAGTTTGTCAAGGTACGTCAGATAAATATAGTAATATAAATGAATCAGATGATCCTTAACCTTTTTTGAGTAGTATGTTTTGAAAGGAACTACACCAAGGGAGAAGATGCTAAGTTTGGCAACAACCTAGGACCTGACCAGCAGGTATTTTGTCAGGATATGATAGACATGACTGTCCACAGGTGAGTATAATTTTTCTAAATTTCACAATTTCATAAACTTGATTGTTAGGTAAACATGATTCACCTGACATTGATGGAAACACGACAAGACATACAATCACTGGAAAACAACAAAGTCCAGCAGTCAGAGTGATGCAGTACATATTCACAGAAAATAGACCTCACTGGTTTTGTCCCTGTACAAGTATGAAACGATGGTGCTCTGGTAAATGAAAAGATTAAAGATTGTCTCATGTTTTTGTCAAAACACAAACAATACAATATTTTCGCTATCTGTAATTTTGACAGTATTGGGTAGCACCAGTAATCACCAAAATACATAAGAAAAAATTGACATATTATTCGTACAACACAAAACAGTTCTAAAAGTCAACATCACTTTTATTACTGTATACCTTTGATTCAAGCCATAACCATAATTAATCTAGAACAGAGTAAATACTATATATTAATCAAGTGCAGGAATCCTATTGCAGGAAATGTTTCATGTTTCATTAGACAAAAACCTAGTCTCTGAAAATACAGGTATATAAATGTGATATAGACAAGCAACAACATTTAAAGTAAAAAGGAGCCCAGTGAGATGGGAGATTCATCACTAGAAATCTAGACTTGCTTCATTTAGGGATATAGTATTGCTGTACAGTAAGGGCTGGATGGGAGAGGATATAATATGCTTCATGAACTCTGAGACAGACTATTAGTAGACATTTCTGGGTTAATGTGTTCTCACACGAGAGGACTTAAGTAGATTTCTAAAATCTGACTGATGATGATATTCACACTTCATCGCCATGTCAATGATTGATGCTTGCTGCCTTATTACTTCCTTATTATTTAACAGTGAGGGTCTAGCTGTATATACAAGGGTGGCATTCCTACAGTATCTAACTTCTTTATCACTAACAACAGTGTGGACATTGGTGAGTAGTAAACAAGCTAGCACTGCAACAGTCCATCATCTAATACACTGGCCAAACGTTGAGGGCATGTTAAAATAAAATACATCCATGATGTACTACTCTATCAATATACAACTCAGAAAAAGTTAAAGACCATCTAATTCTTTCTTTTACTATGGTAATGAGTGAGTGAGTTTAGTTTTATGCCGCAGTCAGCAATATTCCAGCTATATGGCGGCGGTCTGTAAATAATCAAGTCTGGACCAGACAATCAATATGTCATAACTCTACAACACTAACATATAAAAATTGGGCAGTCCTTAAATATTTTTGAGCAGTATAGTCTCTCTAGATGTGGCACTGTGTAATCACAAGATGTTATAAATAAAAATCTTTAAGTATTCAGTTTGCATCAAAAAGTACCTTCTTAGAACAAACACGTAAGTATCCATAATGAATGTCACAATACATTACTGTATTGGTCATAATGAGAGCACCTATAAAAAACATAAACAGGGAGTTAAGTTTGTAGTCAGGCATTAAGCAGTAGCGAACAAACATAGTTCAAACACCAATAAAATGATACCTAGTTCTATAAAGGTTAGTAGGCCATAATGTATCTTTTCTTAAAAATAAATCTGAGACATACAAGGGAAAATAGAAACGTAATTTATTAGTTATAGAAGGGATCACTTTGTTTACAGATCGATCAAGAAACTGGTAAGGTGACATCTATTGGAGCAGGGGACTATTTCAGTGAATAATAAAATCTTGATAGGACACAACAATGATAGTCTCTCTCTGCTAAATGAAACAATCATACAATCTGAAATATAAGTTTTGGCAAGCATTGAATGCTGTTTGCGTAACATATGGTCTGGGAACTATCAAAACACACTTGGTCATCCTATGACAACTCTTTTCTGCTTCACACAAACATGACCTGAAAAAGTGTGTGATTAAGTAAATCTGATGTTACACCATTTGTAGAAATATTGCAGATTGTCATGGCAGAGGATGTCAAAAACAGTCTTCCCACATTGTACAAGTGCAGATTCAAACTATGACCTATGGCATGATGAGTGAATGTATTAACCACTGGGCCACCCCACCTACCTTAACAACGAAGTCTCACTTTGTAAACATGGTTCTCTGTGCAGGAAGTTTATGACGAAACTGTATGGTTAACAGGAATCAACCTCCTCCTATCTTACATATTCAAGATATACCCCAACCAACACAAACACTATGTATATATATATTATCTGGTGACTAAGATATTAATCAACTGAATTATGGTTCTTATCTAGAACTACCATTTCATCTGACAAACATCAACAACTACATGAAACAAATAACAGACATCAATGTTGTTCAATCATAAAATATCTTAAATCAGGAAACATCATTCAAAAACATCAAAATTTTCAAAACTTTCGTCAACCAAAAAGTTCTTATCTAGAACTACCATTTCAGCGGTAGGACTAGTTGCATGCAGCATGCTCTCATTCATCAGAAAATGGGGACATGTAAAGAAAAGCCTGTACCATCAGTTGCAGTCTTCACAAGTACAATTCACAGTTACCAACACCAAAGTCCACTGTTAGTATAGTGTTCTAATAAAATTAATGATTCTTTTGGTCTAAAAAATATATTTAGTGTGTTTGAGATGAGCCTTATTGAGGAATGAGTGAGTTTAGTTTTTTGCCCCACACTCGGCAATATTCCAGCTATATGGCAGCGGTCTGTAAATAATCGAGTCTGGACCAGACAATCCAGTGATCAACAGCATGAGCAGCCTTGTACTTGAAACGAAATATTAAAATGATGAATTTAAAATTTATTTTGGCTTTCACTATCTTATCAACTATCTCCTGACCTAGAAAATTTGTGAACTAAAAACTAAAAATTGACTAACAACATACAAAGACATATGGAAAATTAAGTCTGAAATATTGCAGATACCCACTCAAATCTTAAAACTAGAACCTCACAGTAGTGAAAGTGAGGCTAGGGCTGAAACGATTCAGGGTATCATCAGGGCACTGCGATACTTTGTGACGTGATGTGCATATCTTGTGGTCACGTTGTGATACCAATTCATTCACGTAAGTATTAGGAGCAAATATAATATGAAACAAAATGTTGAACTACCATTTTCAGTAGTAGTAGTAGTAGTAGTAGTAGTAGTAGTTGTAGTAGTAGTAGTAGTAGTAGTAGTAGCAGTAGTAGTAGTAGTAGTAGTAGTAGTAGTAGTAGTAGTAGTAGCAGTAGTAGTAGTAGTAGTAGTAGTAGTAGTAGTAGCAGTAGTAGTAGTAGTAGTAGTAGTAGTAGTAGTAGTAGTAGTAGTAGTAGTACTAGTAGTAGTAGTGGTGGAGTAGTAGTAGTAGTAGTAGTAGTATCTAACCCTGCTGTCTAGTATGAGTTCAAATGTGTTGCTACAGAGATGCAATAGTGACTAGGTCCTAACAAAACAGACCTGGCAAGCTGTGATGGGACAAGAGAAGAACAATTTTATATGCAGACAAAGTGTCTGTTTACTTAACATGCTTCCATCGTGTCTATAAATACACGATGCCATTTAGAAAGTGGTCAAGTGTAACACGTTATATTTGGGATTACACTTTCTCAATGAAGTACAGATTCTAGCAGTTTGGGTTGTCCCATCCAGGATTCAAACCCACACTGTCAGAGTCTTTCACCTAATCAACATTTACACCACCCAGAGGGTTACACAAACTTTCTGATCTAGACTGGCAGTTGTCAGAATTCCCTTTTTGGGTTAGATCACTGACTTTGTCTACTGGCAATCAGGTGCCTGAAGCTGAGAGTTTGGGTTTAATCCCAGATGAAACACAACCCCAAAAAGTACTAGAATCTGTACTTTACAAAGAAAGTGTAATCCCCAATATATAACATCAGGACTACCAAAGAAAACTTTCCCACTGTGCAGAAAAACGCAGAAAAGCCAATATTAATCGTGGAAATGGCAACATAAACATAATACCCACAGCTACTGAAACAGTAAAAACGGCAACTTTAAATCGCTAACACTGCATCATAAAACGAGGAGCGTGCAACTTCGATTTTGTGCATGCACACATGGAAGAGGAAGTCTCGACCGCATGTTGACATTTTCCAGCTTGGACAAAAGTTACATTGCTTTTTAAGTATTTCTGTTGTGTTATTTGGCATTTATCATCATGATACTGTACTTGTGTGCACACTTGTTTAGTTTACTTTCCATTCTTATGAAATGGTTGACACTAATACTTTTTCTACGCGAGGCAATTCACGGTTGCTCAGAATTGGAAAGAAGCCAGATTGTAATTTGCATGCACAGTAGAGGTCAAAGTTCGCTGATATAAAATGTTGCAGTTTCATAGTTTTTCGTTGCCGTTTTTACTGTTTCAGTAGTGAGGTAATGTGTTTATGTTACTATTTCCACGATTAATGTGGGCTTTTCTGCGTTTTTCTGCACAGCGGGAAAGTTTTCTTTGGTAGGCCTGTAACATGTAACATGTCTCAATCTAGACAACAGATAAATAGCCTCTCTTTAAAGAGTATTTGGGGAACACTACTAATATCAACACTTGATAAAATTACACAATATTATCAATAAATATGGCACAAATCTCAACTGGTTCTTCAGTATCTCTGTACATGAACCACACTGAGTATTGACAAGAAGATCTTGAAATGTTTCCAGTTAACAATTAAACTAACAATGCAAAAGTGTCTTCACTTAACAGAATATTCCTGCAACACTCAAAAGAATCTATCTAACTTCTATTTCATAAACAATATTCTGTGTTTTGTGTATTTTCAAGACAAACCTATAAAAGCTACATCAAAACAATTTGGCAAATGTCATGCTCCAAACACTACTAGTCAAACATACTTCTGCAATATATTGAGACGTCTCACTGAGAATACATCTTCATGATGAGCATGTGCTGCCAATACTGAACAAATTAAAAGAGTACACAATGTCAGGACTTACAATATTGCACCAGTAGTAGAAGGATACAAAGGAATGGAATTGCTGCAGTTCCCTAAAGCTGATCCAAACAATATGACAATCATTACTTACACTCCAAGATTTGGTCAGGACAATATGTCCAACATATTTGTGCTAATAGCAGAAACATTTAATTCGCATAATTTCTGATGTATTCCAGAACCCCCGTTCCACGAACCAATCCTGGTACTGCAACTTTACTAATCTGTCTCTAGATTAGTCCGAAGGACTGTCAACTTTATTTCACTGTCTCAGCAACTCATGCTTGAATGAGTTAGAAATTCTTACTATGTTTACATTTTTTGTCAGTCTTCATTGTACCCATGTGGGGCATCGAACTCAGGTCTTCAGCTTGACGAGCGAACGCCTTAACCACTAGGCTACCCCAACACCCTGCTACCGATCAAGGATTACCATCATTGGATTTCTGCTTGTCCTCACCAGTATGTAGTAGTCCCGCGTAGCAGATTAGCAGACTATCTGGCTGAACTCTAAACTTTAAACTCAGCATACCAATAGCTAAGACTGCCACGTGGAACAGGGCTCAGGAAAGTACACAGGATGCTGTTGTTCAAAATGACCTTAGCGCTAAGACTGTCGTAAGTCCTTATTAAGGTAATCACTTTAGCACTAAGATGGCATTGTACAACAGCACCAATGTCATGTGTGAGTTGTCTCGAGTATCACTCGACTACTGTCACACATCTAGAGAACTGGTCTTGGAGCTACTGCTTCTGGATGGGTAGGCACAGAACAGTGCGAACTGCAAACATCCAAGAACAATCCCCATCACGTTTGGATACTGAAAAAGAAATACACCAGAACACTCATTTAACATGTTAAATCACTTTACATTTCAGTGACCGAAATAAAACAAGAAAGTCAGTGAGTCTTAATGCAAAAGTACTGTTAAAACTGAACTGTTTATGAGGTAGATTGGTAAAACCTATGTTATGCTGATAAGGTAAGAGCTCCTACTAGAAGTCACTCTTAAACATACAATCAACGCAAAATTGACAAAAACATTTACAATTTGGGCTTGATAAACATTTTGTGAATTGTGCTTTGTTCAGAAAACAAGATGCAGTTTAACTTTCAAACAATGTCAGGGGTGGAAATAATCCATTGCCTGATGTCTCGGTCCAGTGTTTTTTGTCGGGCAAGCAAACTTGTATATCACGCTTTATCTGTGTCCAGTTGACTTTCCAATGTTAATTATGCTGCTTATTTAAAATATCAACAAGATCATCAACTGATATAGTGGAAACATTATCAGGGCAAGTGATTTTACATGTGCCACTGTACCGGAGTACGGTAGCAATTTAAAAGTTATTTCCACCCCTGAATGTGCTATAAAACCATGCTTAATGGATTAACTGGATTTGCTTGTTTAATGTTGCAGTCAGCAATATTCCAGCTATATGGCAATGGTCTGCAAATAACCGATTCTTGACAAGACAATCCAGTGAACAACAGCATGAGCATCGACCTACGCAATTGGGATATGATGACATGTGTTAACCAAGTCAGCAAGTCTGACCACCCGATCCCGTTAGTTGCCTCTTACGACAAGCATGGGTTGCTGAAGAACAATTCTAACCCGATCTTCATGCTTTAATCTATTGGAACACTTACTGAGACATAGAGGTCACTGATGATACGACCGTACAAGTACCAGCCCACTGCCGCCACAAAGTTCAGCACACACAGCGGTGCAGATATGGAATCACAACTTTTGCTTCTTACAACTTGTGCCTGCAAAGAAAATATTTTCTGAGACTGATCTCACAACACAAATCTAAGTTTCATGTAAACCACTAAGATTGCTGTACCTGTACTTTAATTCTATATCCCGAATTTCTTTTGATTTTGGACAGATCAAAACCCAGTTAACATTAAGGCTACTTAACTGAGACATAAAAGATGAGGTTCTGCAGTCTCACATCATTCCCTTAATACAGAATGCCTTCCCTGCTCTACTGACCAACAAACACAAACACTATCAAACATTTATGGGTTGAGTTGGATCACCTGGTACAGCAGTGTCAACAACAGAAGCAGACTCTGTCACAGATGGAACTGGTACTACAAGTAGAGTGGGTCACTATTCCTCAAGGTCTGACACAAACCCTATCAAACATTAGGGGGATGAGTTGGATCACCTGGTACAGCAGTGTCAACCACAGAAGCAGACTCTGTCACAGATGGAACTGGTACTACAAGTAGAGTGGGTCACTATTTCTGAAGGTCTGATACAAACCCTATCAAACATTAGGGGGATCAGTTGGATCACCTGGTACAGCAGTGTCAACAACAGAAGCAGACTCTGTCACAGATGGAACTGGTACTACAAGTAGAGTGGGTCACTATTTCTGAAGGTCTGACACAAACCCTATCAAACATTAGGGGGATGAGTTGGATCACCTGGTACAGCAGTGTCAACAACAGAAGCAGACTCTGTCACAGATGGAACTGGTACTACAAGTAGAGTGGGTCACTATTTCTGAAGGTCTGACACAAACCCTATCAAACATTAGGGGGATGAGTTGGATCACCTGGTACAGCAGTGTCAACAACAGAAGCAGACTCTGTCACAGATGGAACTGGTACTACAAGTAGAGTGGGTCACTATTTCTGAAGGTCTGACACAAACCCTATCAAACATTAGGGGGGGTGAGTTGGATCACCTGGTACAGCAGTGTCAACAACAGAAGCAGACTCTGTCACAGATGGAACTGGTACTACAAGTAGAGTGGGTCACTATTTCTGAAGGTCTGACACAAACCCTATCAAACATTAGGGGATGAGTTGGATCACCTGGTACAGCAGTGTCAACAACAGAAGCAGACTCTGTCACAGATGGAACTGGTACTACAAGTAGAGTGGGTCACTATTTCTGAAGTCTGACACAACAACATCAAACATTAGGGGATGAGTTGGATCACCTGGTACAGCAGTGTCAACAACAGAAGCAGACTCTGTCACAGACGGAACTGGTCACAGAGTGGGAACTGGTACTACCTGGTACAGAGTGGGTCACTATTTCAAGAAGGTCTGACACAAACCCTATCAAACATTAGGGGGATGAGTTGGATCACCTGGTACAGCAGTGTCAACAACAGAAGCAGACTCTGTCACAGATGGAACTGGTCACTACTACAAGTAGAGTGGGTCACTATTTCTGAAGGTCTGACACAAACCCTATCAAACATTAGGGGATGAGTTGGATCACCTGGTACAGCAGTGTCAACAACAGAAGCAGACTCTGTCACAGATGGAACTGGTACTACAAGTAGAGTGGGTCACTATTTCTGAAGGTCTGACACAAACCCTATCAAACATTAGGGGGTGAGTTGGATCACCTGGTACAGCAGTGTCAACAACAGAAGCAGACTCTGTCACAGATGGAACTGGTACTACAAGTAGAGTGGGTCACTATTTCTGAAGGTCTGACACAAACCCTATCAAACATTAGGGGGGATGAGTTGGATCACCTGGTACAGCAGTGTCAACCACAGAAGCAGACTCTGTCACAGATGGAACTGGTACTACAAGTAGAGTGGGTCACTATTTCTGAAGGTCTGACACAAACCCTATCAAACATTAGGGGGATGAGTTGGATCACCTGGTACAGCAGTGTCAACAACAGAAACAGACTCTGTCACAGATGGAACTGGTAGTACAAGTAGAGTGGGTCACTATTTCTGAAGGTCTGACACAAACCCTATCAAACATTAGGGGGATGAGTTGGATCACCTGGTACAGCAGTGTCAACAACAGAAGCAGACTCTGTCACAGATGGAACTGGTACTACAAGTAGAGTGGGTCACTATTCCTCAAGGTCTGACACAAACCCTATCAAACATTAGGGGGATCAGTTGGATCAACAGGTGCAACTGTGTCCTCCCTACCACACATACATTTTGCTTAAAGATTCTCAGATTTTTAGCTGTAATCTGGCATTGCAATCATTACCACAGCATAAGTGTTAAAGCCTCCCCTCTTCACCCGTACAAACCAAAACATACCTACAACAACAACAATTGGAAATGTGTTATTTCAGGTTTCTACTTTTAAGTGACGTCTGCTTCAGACTCTTGATCAAATATGAGGTTCTGAGCAGATAATAAATCCCTGACAAGTACAGAACATTGCAGTTGTCTCTGTTACGTAGATATACTCACCACTGTTGCCAAGGGTGACGCATAACATACAACTGTTAAGCAACATCCATACAATCCGAGTTGGCCTGCCGCAATGACATCATTGGGTTGGTAGTATCGGATGTAGATGAGTGGTCCAAAAAGCAGGAAGACGCTAAAGCTGATGAGTCTGTGCATTTGGTTCTGAGGTAATAAACACATACATGACTAATGATATGTCATTTCTTTTATGCAGCAATTTTTAGGAGCTTGTGAGTGAATTTGGTTTTATGCCGCTTATAGCCATATTCCAGCAATATCACAGTGGGGGACACCAGAAATGGTTTTCACACATTGTAATTCAGTTTTACGTACTAAAGTGTGTGCGTGAGTATTGTTTTACACTGATTTTGGCAATATTCCAGCAATATCACAGTGGGGGACATCAGAAATGGGCTTCACACATCGTAATTCAGTTTTACGTACTAAAGTGTGTGAGTGAGTATTGTTTTACACTGCTTTTAGCAATATTCCAGCAATATCACAGTGGGGGACACCAGAAATGGCCTTCACACATTGTAATTCAGTTTTTTACATACTAAAGTGCGTGAGTGAGTATGGTTTTACACTGCTTTTAGCAATATTCCAGCAATATCACAGTGGGGGACATCAGAAATGGGCTTCACACATTGTAATTCAGTTTTACTAACTAAAGTGCGTCAGTGAGTATGGTTTTACACCGCTTTTAGCAATATTCCAGCAACATCACAGCGGGGACACCAGAATTGGACAATCACAGGAGGCCCCAGTTTCAGGGATTATAGAACTCACTTGGTAAAGGTGACTGAGGGCATAAATTGAGTGCAACACCACTTTGAACAACAATCCAGTTATCTGATGGTGTGTCAGCTTAAATGGAAACGAAATCTCCAAAACTAGTCATTCATTTAGTGCTCACATAATCACCAGATATTAATTAGCTGGTTTTAGATCTTGCTTTTGTGATGACTATGTTGAAATGTATGGAGTCTGTTGGAGTGAGTGAGTGAGTATGGTTTTATGGTGCTTTTAGCAATATTCCAGCAATATCACAGCGAGGGACACCAGACATGGGCTTCACCCATTGTACCCATATGGGGAATCAAACCCGGGTCTTCGGCATGAAGAGCGAACGCTTTAACCACTAGGCTACCCCACCACCCCAGTGTGTTGGAATATATGGGGTATGTTGTGGACTTCACCTACCCTCTTGACTGTGTAGATGTAGAAGATGCAGATGTAGAGGAACTGCAGTATGGCCCCGAGTGTGTTGGACATTATCATGGAGTAGATGCTGCGCATGATGCTGTACTTGAGCCAGATACACGCACTGAAACATCACAGGAGACATCAACACACCAATACGGCCATTTGAATGTGGGTAGATTTAACTAAACAATATCCATTAAAATTGAAACTTTGATAATATTCTCAACCAAACATGTATCAAAAATTCGGTGACATTACTCTAATATTCTAGACAATGTGTTTTACTTGCCCAAAATCTAAGTCATGCTGAAAAGACTAGGGCTGGGACGATACACTGTCACAATATGATACGTATCGCGATATTTTACCTGTGATACGATACGCACCACTATACATCCACCTTGAAAAAATGACAGTATTAAGATTTAAAATGATTTTTTAGAAGGTATTTGTGTATAACAATAACACTATTGTAATAAACAAACAAGTAACACTATCATACTTACGTATTTTCCTCAACATAAGTACTTTAACATGTTTAAGATAATACTGTTTTGAAAAAAGTTGTGTATCGTTTTGTATCGATACACCAGTCGATAATACGATAGCTGTATCAAACTAAAATGTATCGTGATGCATTGGTGAATCATCCCAGCCCTAGAAAAGACATTGGGTATTTTGAATCCCTGATGACAAACTTGTGTCCAAGTCACCTTAATAACACTCACCTGATAAAGAAGGCAAAGAACGGAACAGGAGATGTGTCACCTGTCCCGCCCTTCCTCACGATACGCAGACATATTTCTCTGGAAAAAGACACATCAACATGTTCACACAAACAAAAGCATATCCTGAACAAGGTTCATTTATTGTCTGACAAAAAACATCGCCATTTTCACGTCTGTTTTGTCCTAGAGTACTAATGCACTGAGTTCCCAATGATAAAATTATACTTAACCAAACAATGGTTTCCTACAAGTACAAGAAAGATAAAAACGTACATAACGAGGAGAGTTCTGTGGACATACAACTTATTTAATATAATGTGAGTGATGTTTTGGTGTAGCTACTATAGTACTGTCGGAAATAGAAAAAAACTGTTTTTAGGCTGTTACTCTGTATCCCTAAAATTGACACAATTGCAAATAGCATATGTCGAAATAACCCACTTCGGCATAACTGGGCGTTCAGTTGGATGCGTGATACGATATCCAGAAAAGCATGTTTATTCAAAAAATCGGGCAAAACTTAGAAAAAAATATGAATAGCTGCTGAAAAAATAGATCAGACTATAGATTGCAATTAGGTCGCTCAGCCAGGTATGACGACGGACCGTCGACTCACCTGGCATGAAATGCACGTGCTCTACCACTGAGACTGTAGTTAGGCCGAACTTAGTTTAACAGATATTTCACACTTTCACATATCAACTACATAAATTGTAGTGATAAATGAGAAAATACAGTTTTTTTCTATTTCCGACAGTACTTTAACACCGTTATCAAGCTCATATCATATTAAAGAAGTTGTATATCCATAGAACTCTCCTCGTTGTTCATCACACCAACTTCTAAATGACACTCAAAGAAGTTAAGATAAAAACTTGTCAATCTCAAAGTATATTCATGGCAAATACATTAACTAATACAGTGTCAGGTAACAAGTGGTTAGCATTAAACAGGGCACTACCATCATTACAAATCCAAACAATTAAAAAAACAGCAAATGCTTTCTTACTATAGATAATGTGTTGTGTCATGCCTGATGAATTGTTGCAGAGCTACAGATAACTTTTTGGGTCATTGAGTTATGTACTCGCTTGTGCTCATCCCAATAGGGTATCCTAATTTTCCTTTGAGTTACTAAATAAATTGTACTCATCTCACTCAAACTCAATTGGGTATTTTGCTATTTCCATTAGCTTTGAAAATACAATAAAGTTTAAATGGTACTGTTTGTTATTTATATTTGATATATAATAGGAGAAACGATAAGAAAGACTGCAAGTTGCCAAGTTCATGTCCTGAAATAGAATGTCTCAATATACCACAGTTATTTTATTTACCCACAGGTACGCAAGCTAAGTTTGGACATTTTTGTGTGTACGCATGTAAGATCACATTTATTGAGTATTTACAAAAATTCAAGCGTACTTGCACGCAATAATCTTAATAGGAATTGAGTTTTCACATAAATACATGCGTAATTTAAGCAGATACGCAGCTTATCAGTACCTCTGCTGTTGTCAAATGAAAATATATGGTATTCTTTGTCTTCTTTGGAGTATTATATTATTCATCTGAGTGAGTGAGTGAGTTGGGTTTTACGCCGCTTTTAGCAATATTCCAGCAATATCACGATGAGGGACACCAGAAATGGGCTTCACACATTGTACCCATGTAGGGAATCGAACCCAGATCTTCTGCGTGACGAGCAAACACGTTAACCACTAGGCTATCCCACCGCCCATTATCATTGGTCTGGGGAACTAATAACTTTTCATAATAAACTAAAGAAAAGAAATAAAAAAATTAAAAATGCTTGTCACTTATAATTATGCTAACATGGAATAATTTACACATTTGAAAATGTATTTTTTAGATTAAATATTATTTTTTTACTTTCCCTGACTCATTCAAATATTACTTCAAATTGTTATCAGTTTTCACTGTTTTACATATCTGTTGAGATTATCTTGGGTGCAGCACAAGTATATACGAGTTTGCCTAACCATGTAATATACTTACATCCCAACCAGCTGACAAGCTATGGATGATAACGTTGCTGCCCATGCCAGCACCAGCTCCCAGTCCATACCATGAACTCACCCACCACCTGCTGGAACAACACGGTTCATTGAAACATCACACAATTGGGGAAATTGTAATGGGCACGAAGTTTAACAATGGTCTACGTGGTGAAGGTTATACCACTGATGTAGCAGTGAGAGTGAGTGAGAGTGGAGTGGAGTGGAGGAGGTGGGAGAGTGGGAGTGAGGAGGAGTGAGTGAGTGAGTGAGTGAGTGAGTGAGTGAGTGAGTGAGTGAGTGAGTGAGTGAGTGAGTGAGTGAGTGAGTGAGTGAGTGAGTGAGTGAGTGAGTGAGTGAGTGAGTGAGTGAGTGAGTGAGTGAGTGAGTGAGTGAGTGAGTGAGTGAGTGAGTGAGTGAGTGAGTGAACTTCCCACTCTTATACATTAGACTGACTCGGAGCCCACCAGTCTTCCATTTGCACGTGCCAGGCAGTACAATGCTATAACTTATAACATGCTATAGCATATAATGATGCTATAACAATGCAAATAACTATGCTATTACCACCAACCGTCCCCATCCTGAGTGGAAGCTCTACCCACTAGACCATGGAGGCAATGTCTAAATTTGGCCTGGTTCAAACAAAACTGTGCCTGTCATAAAAGTCATCTAAACAGAATAGGTGTATCGGTATGTGACCTGGTGACCTGGATGCAAGTCACTGTAGCCAACAGTCCTGGCTCTGTTGTTTACATTCCACTGTCATATGCCCGGAACATCACATGCGTATGTCCTGCATTTTGATACTCATGCTTGACATGAATAAACTATTTCAGCAATAACACGTTATATTTGGGATTACACTTTCTCAGTAAAGTAGAGATTCTAGTACTTTCGTTGGGTTGAGTCCCATCCAGGATTCAAACCCACACCCTCATAGTCAGGCACCTAATCACCAGCACACAAAGTCAGCTGCCTATCCCGCTCAGCCCCCGGATGTCGGACAACTGGTAGTCTTGACAACAGAGTTTGTGTACCCCTCTGAAAAGGGTAATTTGGAATTGTTTATTCATATTTCAGCTACGTCATGGCTCTGCTTGATGAACTGGACACCATTGACCACATCCAACAAGTCTGCAGCTCATTTCAGACTGGTCAAGCATGGGAGAAAACAACTCTGTATATATCTTCACTTGTCTAGAACTAATGGACTAGTGGCCATGTCCACCCTCAAGCCCCTGAAAACATCTTAAGCACTATCCTTAAAACATGATCACCGTGAACCTGGATTTAATTCCAATCCTAGCTTTCTGGCATGGCCAAGGGAGAAAGAGCAAATTTCAGTCAGCCTTTGAACGGAACTTAGATAGAAGGGATACACATAAACACAAGAATTTTATGGAAGTCTTCTTTATTTTGAGGAACACAACATTTTGGAGTATATTTTTATTCCTTTATCAGGCGAATAAAGAATATGAGAAACAGATACCCATATAAGTACACGTGGAACAACAACAGCGATAGGGCAACAAGGGAAGCCAGTAGTGAATTGGCGCTGATTGGTATGGGCAATGGAGTGAGTGAGTGTAGTTTTACGCCGCTTTTAGCAATATTCCAGCAATATCACGGCAGGGGATTCACACATTGTACCCATGAGGGGAATCGAACCCAGGTCTTTGACATTTCGACCTGTGATGGTCCGGGTTAGAATGAATCTTCAATAGCCCATGCTTGTCGTAAGAGGCGACTAACAGGATCGGGAGGCCAGGCTCGCTGACTAGGTTGACACATGTTATTGGTTCCCAATTGCGCAGATCGATGCTCATGCTGTTGATCACTGGAATTTCTGGTCCAGACTCGATTATTTACAGACCGCCGCCATATAGCTGCAATATTGCTTAGTGCAGCGAAAAACTAAACTCACTCACTCACTCTTTGACGTGTCAAACGAATGCTTTAACCACTAGGCTATCCCACCGCCCCTGTAAGGACAATTGACAGTCAGAAGCTACGAAATATGACAACTTGGTTAAACTTTCTCCAGAATAACAAGTTGTTCTGACAATGTCCATGTGTAAAAAGACCTTACGACAAAGAGTCCAAGAAAGGGTTATTCTAATTACTTGAAAACACAATTTGTTGATTATGATAATCATGATAATATATAACCATTTATCAATTATTTATTCTCAGATTATTACACTTTCTCATTTTCAACAAGTGCTCTAATTTCAGTGACAGATATGTTTCTGGTTTAATTTTCCTCCACTATCAGCAGATGTGCATCAAAAAATGTGATCATCAACATCTGGCTGATCACATGGCAAAATGAATAACACAAACATCCACTGTAACCAATTCAACCTGATCATTTTTGTACAATACATGACATATATTCATGGACCCTGAAAGTCAATGATCGAGTAACACTAACAGCATTCTACTGATGATTACAACACCTGTGAAGACACAAAGAACCAGGCGGTCTTCCGAGATGAAACATATGCAAGTTGATAAAAGTCACAAATATCTGGGGCGAGACAAGGATATTTTTACTTCAATCAATCAGTCTAGATATACTAAAAGCTTGGAGGACATGAGGGTGAGATAGAATTTACAACCCAAAATAATTCCTCCAAGTTTTTCTGTTCATTAACAGTAGACCCAGTGTCTTGAGTATAAGATGTCTAGCAAACCAGGGCACCGTTCTTCAAAGCGATCGTAGCGCTAAGACAATCGTAACTCCCATACTTTAACATAGACTTACGATAGTCGTAGCGCTACAATCGCTTTGAGGAATGGGGCCCAGCTTCAGAAGCAGAGAGATCAGTAATGTCAACTGTGCCACCAATCAATTGATGGAGTCACAATGGTTTGAAAGGATTCAGATGCAGTTTCACTCCAGCAATAGCATCCAAGCAATATCTCCTTTGAAGCCCAATGTGGGAAATACTGGACAATAAATAGACATGACCTTCATATATACACATATTGTAATATGATATACACTACATCCTACCATGCTTTGCACAAGTTTCTAAGGCAATGATTATCAATTTTAAATCTTAATTTCAAGATTATATAGATAATAAATGAGACACAAGAAATCAATCAATTACAATGCAAATAATCTATTAGTACAAATTTAAGAATTTACCAAGTTTTCATTAATCACATGTTGATAGATAAATTAATCATTCAGTACCGCAGAAATGTTCACATTTATTAAGATTGGTTTAGAAGGATCATAAAAATGCAGAAAATTCAATTCTACACACCTATTGGATCAGCCTGGTACATGTGTAGCATTGAACTGATGATATCAAGGTTGATTTTTGTTTCTATCTAGACACATATCAATAATCAATTTCATTAATTGGCATGTCAACATAAATCAAGATCCTTTCAAGTCGATATATCAATATAAATTGCCAGTCAAGGACAGCCCAAAGCTATGGACGCCACTAACATTAGAATTTAGAGTTATCCAGAGCTGTAAAAAGACAGTGTTCAAAAACTTCAAGTCTCTTGTCGGCCAATGAACATCTGTCACTGTAACAATGCTGACAGATGTTGGAATAAATCATCCAGAGAAATATCACTACACAATCATTTCTGTTATCACATCAATAAATAAATTAACAAGTGTAGTAACTGTTCCAACCATGAACATGATGAAATTAGAAATAAACGCTCATGTTAGGTTGCTGTGTTGAAATGATTAGTTACCATTCACTTCAATAACTAGTGATGACAAAAAAAGCATGCATGCTTGCTTGCTTTGCTTGAAGTCAGCTTACTGTATCAATATTGACAGAGCATTAACTGTAAGAGCGTATAAACATGATAAAATCAAACTGGTTACAGCTGTTGGCAGAAATACATCCAGCTGAACAAAATGACAGCAACCTGACACTGACTTTATTGCTTCATCCTTCAGATATCAATGGACAAGTGTGAGAGGGGGGGGGGGAAGAGAGAGAAAGAAGAGATGGTGTGTACATGGTGTTTGTGTGAACTTGTTGTTTAACACCTTACTTAACAATATTACTGCTACATGAAAAAAGACAAAATACAGAGCCCAGGTCACAAATCAGTTGAAGTTAAGCAACACAGAAAGTCCTTGGATGGGTGGCTGTGTTTGGCAGCTTGACTCTTGAGAGTTTCTAGGACTTCAGTCCTGCCCCACAACTCTCACCTCAGGCTAGTGAGTTTGTTCACAAACTGCCTCTGTTTACCAAGCAGTGAATAGGTACCTGGTGGCATAAGTCATAGACTGTGAACCTTCTAGCGCCTCACACTCATAGGAGGCTTGGGTTATCTGGGGTAATAATGAGTTAGCACCTTGAGCATGCACAAGTGCCTGGAAACAGGTGCACTATAAATCGCAATTATCAGTATATAAAATAGTGTAATGTGAAATGTGGCCTGTCCAAGGACTGGCTGTCCAAAAAGAGACCAGTCCTGAACAAACACAGCCAATCCCCAAAACTAAAACTAGTGTTGGGAATTGGTTAAAATCTAATAATTGGTGATTGGTCCATTACAACCGATCAATCATCGAAAATAATTGGCTAGCGTCATTTATTAAATGTTCCTTTTATTTTTGTTAATGCACACAAAAAGTAAAGAAAAAACGTAGTAATTTGGGGTTTTTGCAGATTGCTTAAAGTCCATTTGCAAATTTTGCATATTTAAATCATGATTAGTATGTTAGTAACACATATTTCCTGGATTCTTTAAGATAAATTCAATCATGACTTGGAACGGGCTTGTAGTGCTTATGAAATGTAAATTTAATGACACAGACAAATCCAGCCTTGACAAAAATATTGTTAATGCAAACAAGTGTTCCAAGATTGGTCATGTTCGATCACGAGAAAACATGTTCGATTGCTTGGTCGTTTAGTCACTGCGACCAATCTTCGATTATTTCAAATAATCGGACCACCACTAACTATAACAATAAAAAAAATCAACAAATGTTAAACAACAACGAGAAAGAGAATGATTTCTAAGACGAAGTTCAAACCAAGTTAAGTTTATGTTTTTCAAATATTTCCCCTGATCAAAGGATGGCCTTACTTATTTAATAGACCGTCCTTCACAAAAATAGACCGTCAAGGACAGTGGAACGGGCTATATTTTATACACTGCAATTATCTATTTTATTTTTTCAACTCTTGACTAGACAATCCAGTGACTGATACTGCAAGCACCATTTCATCATGTTCATGTACAATCAACCAAGTCAGCCCACCCCATCCATCTGCTAGTGTTAGGGACCAATTCTAACAGGAAATCTCCATGTAGAGGACACAAGGTCCTTGATATCATGCACCGATAGATACATTTTCATTCACACAAACAGGTGTACAAACATGACACGATCTATCACATGCATGTATGAAACAAGGCTGTCAGGAACAGATAGCATATTAATGGTTTCGCAAGATCTAATTTACTCAGCAATAGGTTGCACAAGTTTAAGAGTGTTCTTAACATGAACAGATTGTTGGAACAGATTAAACATTTAAGGCATATTCAGATTTGGTGATAGTAATTGTGAGAGACAAATCTTAAATTTTGTGATTCTGTTTTAATAAACACAAGAAAAGACAGCACAGTTCATCTCCTTCGTTGTTTCACAAAGATTACTGATTCAAATAACAAATTCTGAAACGTGGTAACTGTATTCATTTTGGATAAATGACAGATAATCGATAGTGTCGAGTTGGGTTTCATGATGACTAATATACAAATGATATACAAGATGGATAGATATAGTTAGTCAGTGAAATATATATCACATGATAACTATCTCTGTAAATAAAATGCTGGGATATATTTGGGATACAGCTTGCTCGATTTGCTTATTTTCATAATTTAGACACATATATGTATCAAGAGATCACATGGTGTGACCTGGCACAATGTGTGGCATGGTGTGGTGTGGTGTGGTGAGGTATAATGAAGCCTGGTGTGGTGTGGTGTGGCATCAAGTTGAATTGTGTCGCAATGTGTAGCATGGTGTGGTGTGATATAGTGAAGCCTGATGTGGTGTGGCATGGTGTCACAATGTGTGGCATAACTTGTTTGAGTGGCATTTTAGAAGTTGAGACGTACAATATATAACAAGTTTTATGGATAACAACTTCTTTATTTTCGTGAGTGCGACGTTTCGATACAGATTCTTGTACCGTTGTCAAGCAAGAGTGATACATGAAGTGTAGGAGCTGCATATATATACTGTATATAACAATGAAACAACATAATAGACAAAGGAAACAACATAATTGCCATGATTGGCTAAGCAGTAAGCTTTGATGAAGCCAGTAAGTACATAAAGGATAGTGAGTGGAAGCCAGAGATGTAGTTACAATGAGATGTTTATACAATGGATGCGATGTTTATACAATAGACTGGGCTTGGTGGAGGAGTGGATCATAAGCAGATGGAATGAAGTATCCTTGGTCACGGTTGATGGTAGGCTTGTGGCGTTTGATGTGAATGGCTTCTGTGAGCTTGCGTTTAGTGAAGTCCGTTTGGTTGTTGGCGAGAATGGTGATGTCGGACCACTCTATTTGATGATTGGGGTTGGCTTTGATGTGGTCAGAGATAGCTGATTTGGTGAATGTGTGGCATGGTGTGGTGTGAAGGATTGTGTGGTGTGATATAGTGAAGCCTGGTGTGGTGTGGCATTGTGTCACAATGTGTGACATGGTGTGGTGTGAAGGGGCGGTGTGGTGTGATGTAGTGAAGCCTGGTGTGGTGTGGTTTGACACGACATTGTAAAGTATGGTTTTGGGGAATTTAGCACGTATTCAAGAAATATCACGCAGGTGACACCAGAAATGGGCTTAACACATTGTGCCCATGTGGGGAATCAAACGTGACGACCGAAAGCTTTAACCACTAGGCTACCCCACCACCCCACCTGGGGCACTAACCAGATTTGAACCACATTAATGTTGATACATAATGATGTATAAAAATTAACACAATTTTATGAAATCTGTCACAGATATCAATGCTTGATTTTCATATTGATAAAATCCAGATGTTCCTCAGTCACAATGTATGGTTACATTACCACGATTACTATATGTTCAGGCAGCTTTAACATGTGTTGTACAGTACTTTAGTTGTTTAAGGCCTCACTCCAGCTATAGGGTGGTGGTCTGTTAATATATGAGTCTTGACCAGACAATCCAGTGATCAAGATCATGAGCACCAATCTACATGGTTGACCACCCGATGCAGTAAGTCACGTCTTATGACATGCATGGGTTGAAGAAGACCAATTCTAACCCAGATCTTCAAGGGTTCTTTAGTTACATCACCTTGTTAACTTGATGATTCAAGAAAGTCCAAAGAAACATGGGTCATGGATGCCATCTCATATTCAAGCTGCCTATTTCAACAGTCCAAACTTCACTCTACAGGTCACCTTTCAGCTTCTTAGGATATTTTGTTTCTAGGATTTCAAACTATGTGCCCTTCGCATTCCAACTCAGTAACTCCTTTAAAATCATCTTTTCCCTCCGAAACTGAAATGTTTGTAAAGTTCTCATTTTCTCAGATCATGAGATATTTCAACATTTAATTCAAAAGATTCGATTTGAACTAATCCTTAAAGCTACTCTAATCCTGTTTATCATTTTAACAGCTGTACTTATCAATGAATTGATCACCTCTACAAAGCCAGAATACAGGTCATCATTGTTTATCACAACTGCAATATCAGTACACGGGAAATTTGTAATTACAGTTTGGGAACTTTTACTGCCATTGCCAGCAGACTTGAGACCGACTATCAGATCTAGATAATTGACAAATAATTATCATTTCTTTCATACATAGAACAGAACAATATAAAGCTGCCACAGTTCGTGCAAACAGTCATGCAATGTCACCATAGGTTTTAGACAAAATGAGTTAAAGACAACATGCTTGACTACATTTCAGGAAGATAAAATCTATTTCTAGTCCTTCTACAGGGAGATTTAATAGACAAATGGCCTTGCCTAACCCTCAACAAAGAAGCACTCATTGAAACTATTCCAACCATAACCATGACCAGGACTAGACCCCTCTACGTGATCCATATGATCTGGGTCCTTTCAACATGGGGTCAAGACAAGAGTGTCATAAACATTGAACAAAAGCATAGAAATACCGGTAAACACTGACAGGCAGGTACATGAGCAAAATTAGCCCAATTTAGCAACAGACTAATTATGCTAATTGAAATGACAGTTCTATTTAACTTGACCATAGTCACGTAATTAGATTCTCTTTGATTTGCATTTTAGAAGCCAATTCGTAATCATAAATGCAAGATACTTTATCATTTATTAATATTTTAAAATGACAACTTCCTTACTACATATGATGAGAATCTATACCAAAACTTTACATCATATGGAATAAAGAAGTTGTCATCCTCACAGTACCTTGCATTTATCAGTACTCAGTTCACAGAGAAAACATCTAGTCTTTCTTACAATGTCCAGAATTCACTAGCTTGGGCACTAATTGAAAGGCCTGTGTCTGAGTTAAGAATTGGACAAAAAACTTAAAATTGCACATTTACCTAGATTACTTCTGTTACATCATAGTGTCACCTTAATGTGGAAGGAAAGCCTAAAATAACACTACTATAGTCCATTTGACTTCATTTTAGACCGATGAATTGCTCACTAACACAAAATCTAATAATTGCAACAAAACCAAATTTTGCTGTCACATGAAATGTCACTGCACACGCTTGTTGATTACCATATTGTATATGGTATTGTCATATGATGCTGATGAACACATGCTTAACCATGTTAACATCCCATCCTGTTCAGAAGTATGCATAATCATTATGCGGTATGGCTTCCGCCCGTAATACAACCTATGTTCAGATTAAACTGACAGCATAAGCATACTCTGTTAGGGTTAGGTTTAAGAGTGGAATACGGGTAGAAGTCTTTCCCATTATGCATACGACCCAAAGCTAAGATATCATCCAATCAAACAGGTTATTTTCTAACCAATTTTGAATGGTGAGTGAGTTTGGTTTCACGCTGCTTTTTGCAATATTCCAGCAATATCATGGCGGGAGACACCAGAAATGGGTTTCACACATTGTACCCATGTGGGGAATCGAACCCAGGCCTTCTGCGTGAATGCTTTAACCACTAGGCTAACAACAAACACACACCACCACACCCCGAATAATGACAATAATATTACACATATAAGGCACATATCAATCATAATAAACAGAGCACTGTAAATCTGCAAAGAATTCCAACTTATAAAACATTCACTAGCCTAATGTAACTGCTCACTACACCTTTTGACTGAATATGTCGAATAGATGGCCCCGAATAGATGCTCCAGATGTTATGGGTCTTTTTCAAGTTTATTTTACAGCAATAAACTGCATATATTCTTTAATTATGAATAGTATTTCTGTTCCTTAGTTATTTCTTGATTCTTATTGGTAAGCATTAAACTCATCACAAAGAAAGACAAGCACATACGCCACGTTAGTATTGACTGTAAGAGTAAACATCTGGCAGAAATATCTGACATCAATTTAGAGAGCTGGATGTCGTCATTTTAAAAGAAAATGTGGGACATATTAATCAAATGTTTAGGACTTTCTATACGTTATGAACTTACACGAAATGTTTCGATCCGCAGGAAATAAACTCAAAGTACGGTACACCACCGAGGTCTCACTGCGTGATGCCGATTTAAGTTGTTTACATCCGCAGACGAAAAGCGCCGCGTCAAACTTTCATAGAATCTCGCGAGAATGTTAAAAGTAGAACTGTAGATATCATACGAATTACGAGCTATATCAAAAAGTCCATTTGACAGGAAGGAATAGGTTTGGATAGTCTGTTAAGTATTATAGATAAATACTAATTTTGCTACTACTAACGAGTACAAATTTAAGTGGTTGACGTTGTCATTTATTTATGAACTCCCGTAATTCGGAAGAAACACATCTGTCAATTTATACTTTTATGGATTTTCAAAATGGCTGCCTGCGTTAACCATGTGATTTTGTTACATTGATACTGTAAGTTTCACATTTGCGATTTATGATAACTTGTCAACCGACAGTTACCTTATGAAAATATTTCCATACATTTTAGTTGTTTCTCTTTGAAGAGTGACACACACATATGATACTGAAAGAGGCAAATATAGATTCAATGTGATATGTTCAGATTTCGTTCACCCAAGTATCAGAGGATGCGTCAAATTCGTTCGCATGCTTTGGCGTGAACATGAATTTCTGTCTCTTATGGATTTCTTCCACCTATCCATTTGTGGGTAGTGCCCGATAGTGTCAATTAATGTACACTCCCGTTCCCCCAGCCCAAATAATATTTATAAACTTCGATCTGACGAACATGCATTTATCAGGTTGGGGAAACCTACCGATCGGCCTATAATATGCCCAACAGGATATTATAGGCCGTTCTGCCTATTTTGCTATAGCCCGATCGGGCCATATTTGAACATTTTTCTAATTATTTCACAAACTATCAATTTCCGCACGGAATGGTTTTATATGATCATAGAGATGACTAGTTAGTGGACCTCCTCAGCTTGAAAAAAATAAGTTTGGGACAAAATGGCAATTTATATCATGTTCAGGAAAAGATGTTTCATAAAGAACACAATTTTGCATAGATTTTCCTTTTGAAAACTAACACTGAATATCTATGTCATTAATTTGCACTGAAAATTGTCAAAAAATATTATAGACTTATATTTAATTAGCAATTTCCAAACTCCTTTAGTATGTGATGAAAATTCTCAAAAAGGGTTTGAATGAAAACCTTAGGACATCAAAACTTGAATGATGTTAATATCCTCATGCGGAAATGCACCGCTTCAAATTTATTTGATAAATATCATAATTATAGGCAGATCGGCCTATAGCAAAATAGGCAGAAGGGCCTATAATATCCCGTTTGGCCTATTATAGGCCAATTGGTAGGTTTCCCCAACCTGTTTATGGAAGACACACCTGACAGACATGCGTATATGGCAGACATGCACCTGACGGACATGCATGTAGGGGAAACACACCGGAAAGAGTTCTGCCCGTACATGCGAAAAGATGAAGGATGACATTATTTTTCGTTACTGGAAACTTGGGCATAACAAAGGTGAAACGTGAATTCATTATATTGGATTTATGTGCTATTCTTGTATTGAATTAATGTGTCAATTCTGTGGATACGATACAACGAAATGTCAGTACACGTTTTACTCTAGTATTGTTTTGCAATCGATCTTTTAGATTCTTAAAAGAATTACATAAAATGTCCTCCACCACGGGATCTCCATGATCAGCAGCACTTGCATGTTCACTTGCCTCTCATCGACAATAATATTCGCTAATATATTTTCAAAAATCGATATTACATGTAAAGACATATGAGTAATATGTTTTCATCATTTATGTTAAAGGAACTTTAATTCATATGTAAATGTGGAAATATTTACTTCTCGGGTCCGGTTTGGGTCAAATATCAGGGTCCGGTTCGGGTTAAATATCAGGGACCGGTTCGGCTTGGGGCCGGTTCGGGGGTAATTCCTCGAAACAATGCCCTATGACGCCTGCATGGCAACACGGTTGTCTGGCTCAGCGAGTGCGTATAAGCTCCGCTCACTGGTGTTTCATCTTTACGAGCTATGTCATTGCATAAGCCCAACGATGTTGAGAGTTTCCAATAGTTGTATACCGGCGGATGCGCAATATTTTGCAAGCACCAGTTTGAAATATTTTTCGTTTTTCACTAATACGCTCATATTTATTTGTATTATGGGATGCTGAGGTGTTATGTTTTGTGTATTTTGTAATTTTTTCTTATCCTGACTCATGTTTATTTGCTTGTCTTCTTCTTCTGGCGAACCTAGTGGAACACTTGTATCTCCCAATTGAAGCTCCCTTCAATAAAGAAATCACTATTAGTACTCACCCCGAGTTATCTCCCTTTCCGTAAGCGCGGGAAGGAGGGCGCCACCCAAGCCCATGTGCCTCACTCTCTCCTTCTTCGCCCAGTGAGCTGGACGTGAGAGCGCCTGTGTCTCCCAACGCACATATCCTTTATTTAAATCTAGTTAAGTTCCTCTTATACGTTAGTATAGAGGTAGTACTAGTATATTTATTCAATTTGCATTGATTATTAATTGTGTTTCTGCTGTTTTATTCAGGCTTTGGCATGATTGTTCAGTAGGCTACATTAATGAAAATTTGCACAGAATGTAAACTACGTTACTCTGATACCGATCCTCATTTAAAATGCCCTAGCTGCATTACTCCATGTTCCTTTGATTCTCGTTGTAAATTGTGTAGCAATTTACCTATCTCTGCCTTTGACAAATATTTATGTTCCGTTTACAGACGGAAGGCAGATAAATCTCGTAAACAGAATTCAAACATGGCTAATAGATCGCAAATTAATGTTTCATGTCAACTGTTGACTGAGGACTCGTCACCAGCTGGTGGCATGCCTGAGTTTCCCTCGGAGGATAAGCGTGGGACGCAGTCCGCTATGTCCAAGAAGCGACCTGCATCTCAAGAGCTGCCGTCCTCTCAGTCCAAGTCGAGGAAACCAGCCATATCATCTCGAGTATCTCTTACGTGACTCAAGATCTACACCGTCATCTAAAGGGAAATCAACTAAATCTAATAAATTTGCTTCTGATATCTTACCAGTTACAGAATTAGCATTATATGATGATGATATGCCTATTATCATTCCAGAAGTTCGTCACAAGAAACGGCCCGTTTCTGCGACTATCACCTCTGCGCAGACGGATACACAAACGGAGATGCCGATGCTATCACCAATACATTTATCTGAGGGTCCCGTCACCTCTGCAGAGAGACATCCCTCATCAACGCAGAGCGTCCCAGATGACTTGATCAACCACATTATGAGAATGATGGAAGACCGCTACGGCTTACAGAGGCCTCAGAGCCACGGGCCCCAGAGCCCACCCCATACTAAGTCATACAGGGCCTTGACTTCGCGTAGGGCCCCTGAGCCCATAGAGGCGCCTCCGCGAAGGGCAACCCTGCCGGAGTGAGCTCTTTGCATAAGGTATCCCAGACCGCCTCCTCGAAGGAGCTTAGAGTCTGACCCTTTGCAAGAGGCTTTCGAGGAGAAAGGAGTGTTCGCTTCTAGCACCTTGTCATGTCATGTAAGGCGTTCGCGCAAAGCAAACACTCATATGTCGGATCGGACACTGACTCCAGACATTCGCGCCTTAGCGCAGCAGGCTAAGTGGTTCTACAACGCCTAGAAGGCGTTACGCAGCCCTCATCGTCCGAGAAGCCCACAGCGTCGGAGAAGCCATCAACGTTCGCGTAGCCCACAGTCTCCGCGAAGGATGTCCTCTCCAAGATCTGCATACACTAGCCACTCGTCAGTCCGTTCTCCTCAGTCCTCACATAGATCTTCTTATAGATCGAGGTCTCCGACATACGACCATACGTCAGAGGAGGACGATGGTATCATATTCTCAGAGGCTGAGATAAGGTATTGGATGGTAAATGAATTACAACTGGCCTCTCCCTCCAAGAACGAGGATACAGCCCATACTTACCTGATGAAAGATGATGACGTAGATCATATCACCATACCTCCTGTGGATCCTATCGCAGCTGTTCCTGCTAAACTGGATACAACTTTCTCCAAAGCTACTAAATCCCATCTTCCTCACTTACCAATCTTCAATGCCAAGCAATTCTATGGACATAATATGGAGCCTTTTTTCAAGACTCAAGAGATTGATGAAAACTTCAAGATTATCAGTGATTCCAAGTCCAGAAGTTATAGGATTGATGATCGCAAGATGGCCCAGTTAGATACCATTGCCAGAAGAATGTTCTTCGGACTTAATAGATCTAGGACTATTAACGAAACGCTCATCTCTAAGTTCAAGAACTCTACGGATGAGGAGGACAGGATGATCTATTCAGCTCTACTTATGCAGAAGAAAGATCAACAATTCCTTACAGACCATCTTTCAGCTCTCACTGAAACTACTACCATGGCACGTCGGCAAGGATTACTAGCCTCATGCTCTTGGAATAATCAATTCACAGAGCCCCTGTACACAGCTCCATGGTCTTCACCTTTACTGTTTGGTGGCAACATTAACAAGGTCTCCAAGGAAGTATCTAAAGATTCTAGAGAAGTACTCATGATTAGATCTATGGATACGTTAGCCAACGTCTTCAAACATTCAGCACAGAGGTACTCGGGTAAGGCTAAATTCTCAGGGCTACAGAGAGCACGGGATAAGAAACTAGCGGCCGCTAATAATCCCAAGGATTCTTTTCGTCGCCCCTACAACAAGTTCAGAGGAGGATCAGCTAGAGGCAGATCATCCAGAGGTGCCCATGGAAGTAAACGATGAAAGTCAGGTTCGGAACGACTGGAGTCTTCCACCCCCAGTTGTCCCAGTACAACCGTCTCAAGTGGGTGGACGACTACAACTTCACTGGGGAAACTGGGGAATACTTCAAGACCCGTATGTATCCAACATCCTTCGGTACGGATATCGTCTACAACTCAAGGCCAAGCCACCGTTAACAGTCAACCCACCAGGGTTCAACGTTCATCTGGCACAACTACCGATGTTAAGAGAAACAGTACATTCTCTATTAAACAAACAGGCCTTAGAAGTTCTCGATCAGCAAAACATCATACCAGGTTTCTACTCCCCAGTCTTCCTAGTACCGAAAAAGAATTCCAAAGAGAAGTATCGCCTCATTTACAACATGAGCACTTTCAACAGAGAATTTCTATGCAAACCACCAGCGTTTCGCATGATACATTTACCTCAACGTCATCTAATTCATCCACTAGATTACATGGTAAGTATAGATCTGCAGGACGATACCTACACATTCGATTCATCCCAGTTCAAGGAAATATCTGAGATTCATGCTAGACGGCATACACTACCAATGGAAAGTACTTCCCTTCGGAATCACTTCGGCCCCATGGATATTCACAAGAATAACCAAGCCTATAGTCTCATATCTTT